GACCTCCACCTCTAACACCTCTACCTCCACCTCCAGCTGCCTGACCCCTGCCTCTAGCTGGATGAGCGGGCGCTGGAACACCCGGTGCTTGAATCATGGCACGAGAACCCTGATGCTGAGAACTGCTCGAGGCTCGAGGGCAAAATCTAGCAATGTGCCTCGGATCGCCACAAGTATAACAAGTCCTCAGCTGCTGGGACTGCTGACCCTGAAACTGACCCTGACGGCCTGAGTAGCCACCCTGAAAACTCTGGAGCGAAGGTGCACTGATAGGAGCTGGTGATGCACTGTAGGGTAGCTGATCAGAATACTGCATATGAGAACCACGGCCACCTGGAACACCGTGAGAAGCCTGAAGTGATGAATGAAACGGCCTGGGAGGATGGCCCCTACTAAAAGAATCCCTGCCTCCAGACGAGGCACCACTGAATGTACCAGAATGACGAGGCCTCTTGTCAGACCCATGACCGCTCCCCTGAGCTAGAACCATCTCAACCCGCCTGGCCACATTGGCTGCAACCTGAAAAGAAATCTCGCTCCCTGAATCCTTAGCCATCTCCAATCAGATAGGCTGAGCGAGTCCCTCAATGAACCTCCTTACTCTCTCTCTCTCTCTCTCTCTCTCTCTCTCGATGGGGTGTATAAGAAGAGCATGACGAGCCAAATCAACAANAGCACATAATTTAGCATGTCTTACACGTACTGTTTAAGGGTCTGATTAAAACTTAAAAGCTAGGGCAGGCTGATTTATCACATATTTCCAGATAAGAAGTCCGAATTAGGCTTGCCTGCTGGTCGTAATTGATAAAGACTGATGCAGTTTAAAAACTTTACCCTAAGGCTTGCCTAGGTGTGGGGCAAGAGCTCCTATAGACATGATATCTACTGATTTCAGGAAAGAATGAAATAGATTGAATACATACTGATTCAGAGGGGTTACCAGATTATTAAAGAAAAGCAAACTTTAGCAAAAGTTACAGGTTCTAAAAGCATTATTACTGGTTTTAGACTCATAAGCGAGTGGAAACGTTTCAGACTTGGTTGATAGTTCCTATAGGCATGCTTTCTACGCGTTGTTGATTTTAAACACTTTTATAGATATAAAAAATGCAGAAAACCTACAACATGATATCTAGGTGTTACATTTTATTACGAACGTGACATCTGATTACATTTTTTGGTTATTAGGACCTATAGACAAGTTTGCCTAGTGAAAAGCGGGTATGCAAGAATCAGAAGGGACCTATAGGCATATTTTCTACATGCGTGTGCAGAAGCTATAGACATAATATCTACATGAAAGTGCAGGATCCCTATAGTCATGGCATCTAAATGAGAATGCTGAAGTTCTTATAGACATGGTAACTAAATGAGAATGCAGAAGTCCTTATAGACATGGTAACTAAATGAGAATGCAGAAATGCTTATAGGCATGAAAAATGCAAAGATTCCTATAGGCAAGTTATCTATATGAAAAATGCTAAAATTAGAGATTCCTATAGGCAAGTTATCTACCCTTTTTACATGCATGGTTACCCTCCCTTTTCACTAACCATCCCCGAAAGTTTATTACAAAGTTATTACAGTCCAAAGAAAATAAAGAAAATACATCAGAAATTGAAAATTACAACCAAGGAGAGCCTGATTCAGACTTCCTGTCTGAAGTATGAAGTAAACCAACTCCAAAGATCAGATTTCAAAGCCTTTCTCTCATTTAGGGGTGTGTCAGAGTTCCCTAAGAGCCTCACATGAACTCTGGGCAGTGCTTACACCCCAAATACATTACCAGACTAGGACATAGTGCAGTGTGGAAGAGCCAGCCCTCAAGTGTCCAAGTTCAGAGGGAACTCAGGGTCCCAAGGCAAGGCTCACAGGAGGGGGCAGAACCTAGGAACTAAGAGAGAGTGCAAGTGCAGGATTCTGAAAGGGGAAAGGGGAAAGGGAAACAGTTCACATTGATACACATAGGGGTATAGGGAATGGGGAGATAGTAAAGGAAAAGCAACGGCAGGCTGGTGGGGCATACTCAGCAATGCGGAATGATGGCCTACCCCATAAGCCTGTTAGAATACATTGTTTAGAAGTTAGGATCCTTTAAGGGATCAAGTTCAAACCATAGACAATAACTTGCATATTGCCATGTTTTAAACTGCAACTCACAGCATATAAGGGGGGTAGGGAGCAAGGGTTCATAGTAGAAACAAACAGAAAAAGATTAACATGCTAGTTTAAATATTTAATTCAGAAGTAGTAAAGTAGGCAGGTATACAAAAAGCTGTAAATAAACACATTGTGATGATGCTGAAACTTAAATTAGAACATACCAGTTTCAAAGGAAACAAACGAAGAGAAAGTGCAATAGTCTTGTGAAAGCCACAGAATAGACAAGAAGAGAGTACTAGTAAGAGTTCAGAAGAGATTGTAAAGTAGTAGTGGAGGATTGTTAATCGTGTGTGCTGTGTGTTAGAGAGTCGTGTATTTATAGTGTAAAGGTCATGGGGAAATAAGGTAAGAAAATAATTGAAGAACTGATTGTCAATCAATTACACAAGACTCCCTTTAATTAAGGGATTCAGATTCAAACGGGTATAAACCAATTAAGGAAAGAAATTAATCAAACACTTTGTGCAAAGTAGGCAATTAGGGGTGAATACATAAGAGTTTTATTTAAAAACAGAATTTTGAAATACACGGTTGTGCAATTAAGGAAAGAGAATCAATTAATAGCCAAGAAATCAGAGGTCAGAGATTTGTTATGAATGAACCGAGTCAAAAGATGGGAAAGGTTTTTAACTTAAAGGAAATTAGCAAACATGGAAAGGGAATCAATTAGACCCATATTCAGAGGGGAGTATGGACTAATTACAGATTTAAAAACTGCTTTAGAGGGAAGTTCATCATATATAAGGAGCATACAAACACGTTAAGCATGAAAGAAGATTGTAGTGTCATTATAAAATCAGTAGAAAATCTAGTATAGAAGAGTTTAGCAAAAGGTCAAAGTCATATGAAAACAAAGAAGTCCAAACTCAATTCAAAGACTCGAAGTCAATCTGAAAGAAATAGGGGTTTCGAAATAAAACCCTAGTTCAAGCAAGCCATAAAGCAGAGATGAGAGGGCAGGCAATTGAATCGAAATCATGTTTAGAAGTTTCAGAAAAAGAACAGGCTTCTTCAACAGAACTCATGAGAAAACATGATAGCAAAGTAACATGCAATCACAGTAGAAGGATTCAAAGAACATAATGGCAAATACTGATAAGAACAGTAGAAGAAGCATGCTTAAGAGGATCTTTCAGGAGAAATCCAAACAAGGTTCAGTAGAAGAAAAATAGCAACACCTTAAGAACACAGTAAAGAGAATGTAGTAGGCAAAACATAGCAGATCATAGTAGAAGAAAGTACGAGAACATAGTATGGAAAACATGGTAGAGGAACATATAAGCATGGAGCATATAAACACAGTAAAAAAGAACATACAAGAACGGAGTATAAAAGCTCAGTAAAAGAGCATACAAGAACAGAACATATACAAGAACGTGGTAGATAAAACACAGGAGCACAATAGAGGCAAATACACAAAAGAAAGGGGAAAGAGAGTCAGAGAAACACTTAAACATTTTTTCAGAAAACCCTAGATCGGAAAGAAAGATTTTAAAAAGTAATTTTCGAAAGAAAAGTTAGGGAAATCGTTTGAAAACTTAAAGAGAGCACAGATACCCCATAGATTTAAAGAAATCGGAGAAAACCTCAAAGGGTTAGGGTTTCAGAAGAACCCTAGAAATGAGAAAGGCTTTGAGATGGTCATCGATCTGAGTCGGAGAGGTCGGAATCAGACTCAAATAACTATAGTACGCCGGAGCAAGGCCGGAGATGACCAGAGAACCTTGAATCGATAGAGGTCTGGGTGAAAACCTTCGAATTCAGGCCTCGAATCTTCAGGTATCAAGCACATAGGAGCAATAGGAGGTGAGTATAGGACTCCCACAGCCTGAGAAGCCATGGATTCCGGTGGGTTTCACGGTGGGAGATGGTAGGAGACGATTAGGGTTCAGAGAAGGTTCGAGAGAGTTTGAGGGGGTAAGGGATTCAAAGGCGCTGTCTTAGGTGAAATGATTTAGGGTTGAGGGGGTTTGGTAAATTAAAAGGGAAAGAAGGGGTCGTGGCCGTTGATTATTTTGATCAACGGCCTAGATTTATTGGGAAGCCGGGCGGGTTGGATTAAATCGGGTCATGGGCAGGTAGTTTAGGAATTGGGCCGGTCCAATTGAGATTGAAATTTGGTTAATTGGGGTGGTCGATTTGAGCTAATATTGAAATAAATAGGGCTAGATTTTAAATAGCCACTTTTTCCCTTTTTATTTTATAAAAATAGTAAAATAATTTCTGAAAACAAATTAAAGGTACTAAATTTATTAATAATATATAAATATTGAGTTAAAAATACTGGAATCAAATTTGTAATTATAAGCGCAATTAATTCTTAAAATAGGCTAATATTGCAATTATATGCAATTTAGTTTTAAAAATACTAAATAAGTTTGTAAAAATGTGCAAAAATTACCTTAGCTATATTTTGGGATAATATGAGAATGAAATAAATTACTCACCAAAATGATAATTTTGAGGAATAATTATTGGTTTTTGTATTGCTAAAATAGGGCAATAAATTGATTTAAAAATCCTTCAAAAATTAGGAAGAATACTAAAATATTTGGACACATTTATATATGCATACATATGCTATTTTGAAAGGTGTTTTGCATATAAAAAATATACAGGGAAAAATTGGGTATCAACAGTAAGTATAACAAATAACATACCAGTGCCTCATGCCTCCCGGCGTATGGAATGTACCGACCACCAGCTTGATGAACAGGATTTCCGATGAAAAGTCAGGTAGCTCTGCAATACCAGCCCATATACTCATTCTCACCATCCGTACGGTTAGGTGGATGGAGTGGCACAATCAGGTCATACCTATGGTCGCAAATCTCAATCTAGGCCTCTAGCCAGGCCACGTATGTCTGGTCAACCCTAGAACGATCATCCTGCTGGTAATGTGTCCTAAGCCAAGCGGTGAGAGTAGGTACAAGCTGCAGTCGACCAAACTGGCGAAGGACTTGCTTGGTGGCCTGATGCTCGGCAATATCGAGACGCATCAATAGGACGGAAGTGCTCCACATAACTCGGCCGATGGAGCAATAATCGGGCAAACCAGCTATTAGCTCGTCGCTGTATGGCCTCCATATGAACTATTAAGTAAACACAGGAATCGTGAGTAAACGCGACACATATAAATCCAGGCCAAGTATACTTAAGTATACATGTACCTGCGCGCCTTCAAGCAAATCCAACAAATCCCTGTAATAGGGGAGATGATGTCGAGCCTCGACCTCGCATCCATAGCCTCGCCTATCAACCCGCCTCCTAGCTAAAGGGAGAAACGGTGGAGGTGGTGCATCCGGAACGATGGGTGGTAGAGGTGGCTGGGACTGCAGGAACCGCTCCCAGGCCCAAACCTAATATACATTGTGGACATAAATTTAAGGTATATTTTTACTATGTATGTTATAATCATGAAAAGAATTGACTTTCTTTTTACCTGCAGCAGCGGCAACAATCCGGCAATGTCTCTCTGGGTGCCCATGCTTGCCCGACACATCTGCCTATACAGGTACCCTAGAACAGTTGCACCCCAACTGTAACCAGGTAAATCATCTAGCCGCTCAAGATGATGAAGAAATCTCAAGCTGACTAGGTTTTCCGAATTGTTCGGGAACAATACCCCACCGAACATATACAACATCAACAATATCGTGTACCAGTGGATAAGAAGATCCGATGAATCATCCGTAATGTTCGCATCCATCACCTCCAGATGCTGCCGAACGGGCGTCAACTGCAAACGACTGGCCCCACTCAATGTTGTTTCCTCCGCTGGCTGAAAACCGGTGAGCCGCTGCAACATCTCTAGGTAATGCAATCTCGTATATTCTCTAAGAGCATACGGGTAAGCTATAGGTAATCCATCAACCGGTAGCCCAAAAAGAACCTCCACGTCCTGAAGCGTGATGGTAGTCTCGCCGATTGGTAGATGAAACATGTGAGTCTCTAGTCGCCACCGCTCTATCATAGCCGTGATCAACGCCCAGTCGAATGGCAACCGGCCGATCTCTATGATCCTGTAGAACTCGTATCCTCAAGGCGTCTAACTATACGGGGATTGAGTGGGTGGGCCCTAATGAACTCCCACATATCGTCTACACGTCTGGCGCGGAATGTCTAGGACAAGCACTGCCCATCCCATATGTATGAAGACCTATGCTCGACCTGTAGCAACAGTAGCTCTAGCGATGCAGGTCCGGGATGCACAGGCGGAACCTCCATGACGACTACTGTAAATTGAACAATATTAATTAAAGTATTTTTCTTTTAATTGCTTAACATCTTTAAATATATTGCAATATCTTTAATATTAAAATTTATTCGATATTTTTACTATATTGTTAATTAGGTTGATATATTTTTTATATTATAATTTTATATTTTATATGTTGATTTATCATTTTATATGTTAGCCTATTATTTTATATGTTACTTTATTATTTTATATGTTTGTTTACTATTTTATATGTTTGCTTATTATTTAATATGTTAGTTTATTATTTTATATGTTTGTTTCTTATTTTATATGTTAGTCTATTATTTTATATGTTTGTTTGTTACTCACCTATTTTTGACTATAATAAAATTAAATAATTAATTTTAATAACTATACATGATTTAANTGGTAGTTTTTTAATTTTTAGTATTTTCGTTTTGTATAGATATTTAAATTCAAATATAATAACTAACTAATAATTAATAATTAACTAAAAAACTAATTAGAGCCCGTTTGGCTTAGCTGATTTAGAGTAGCTGATAAGTATTAGTTGCTGAAAAACAATTTTAAGTGCTGAAGCTGATTCAAAAAATAAGCAGTTACGTGTTTGGATAAAAGTGCTAAAATTAATACTATGCAGCTAAAGAACTAGGTATACGAAGAGTTTTGTTTTAAAAAGAAGTATTTTAGGGATAGAATAGTAAATATTTTGGTCAAACTTAAAGTGCTTATAAGCTAAAATTTGATAAGTTGGGGGAGACCAACTTATGGCTTTTGGCTTATAAGCACTTAACTTATAAGCACTTTTAATTTTACCAAACGCGTAGATAAGCCAAAAAGTGCTTATAAGCCAGTTTGACCAGCTTATAAGCTTAGCCAAACACCCTCTTAGTAACTAATTATGCCATGTGACTTTTTTTATGCTGCCACTTGGCTTAAGGAGAGAGCTTTATCCTCTCCTTTTAATAATATATAGATAGATTGTGTTTGCTAATTTGTAGACCGAATCATCCCATGTTCAGTCAGAATGGCATTCGAAATACAACTAACAAAATAATGGGTACCTATTAACAACATATAAAGATATTCATTTAAATGGATGATGAAAATAAAAGTAATTCGAATAGGTTCAAAGATCCTACATCAATTCAACTCATGAAGGTGTTTTCATTTTTAGGCTTATAATAAGTGCTGACCTTTTGAGTTGGTTGGTTTACCTATCAAATTTTTTTTTTGGTATGTGAAAGAACACTATAAAATAAAAAGCTATTTATAAATGATTTCTGAGACTTTGATAGTACAACATATAAAAGATAATTATTGTTCATTGAACTAATATTATTACTTTTTGTTTCTCAATCAACATACTTTAGTTTGTTAATTATCTATTATGTAATTTTATAGCATTTGATTATTACATATAAAAGGTGTGTGACATATGGAATATGGTAATCGATAGAAGCTAAAACTGGTGGGGGAATAAAACTATGAAAATATGATTTTGCTGATAAATTGAAATATTAAAGTTCAACATCAACAATATATAATATAAATGTATTCACAGAACAAGTCATTTTTTCGAGAACTAACATTTGCTTCAATTATTGATTGGTAGGATGAATTGAGTCGTGTGTTTTTTTTTTTAACTCATTATTGTCAAATAAGCGGCAAAAAGAAGCATGTAGTTTATGGTAGTGAGAGAACGTCTGGCCTCTCTCTAGAAAATATTAGAGAAGAACTTTTAGTTCCTTCTCAGCTAACCTACAGAAACAAACATCCACTCAAAAGCCAAATGCTGGAAGAACAAAACTTAGGAACACATCAAAATGCTACAACCACACCCTCTCTTAACGGCAAAGACGCAGCAATGGAACATATTGCAGAGAAAAAAACAACTGCACAAAGCTCACGACAGCCCTTGAACTCACTAGTAATGGACAGCCCAGAACACTGTAATGAAAAACAAGCCAAAAAAACTACTTTCTCATCCAAGCTACAAGAAAACCTAGACTTTACTCAAACCAAAAACCAAATAACAGTACAAAAATCTATCCTTGGCTTTGATACTTCGGATGAAACTGAACATCTTTGATTCGGACAACTTTATACCCATAACTTCGGAGGATAAGGAACGAATATACAAAAATTGGGAAAATGCCCTAATAATAAAAATATTCGGCAGACGAGTAACTTACCAATTCCTACAACAAAAAATATATGCCATATGGAGACCTANGCTCTAATAATCAAAATATTTGGTAGACGAGTAACTTACCAATTCCTACAACAAAAAATACATGCTATATGGAGACCAACCGAGCACTTATCACTGATCGACCTTGGTTATGATTATTACCTCATAAAATTCACTAGACCGGAAAACTATGACAAAGCACTACACGGGGGACCTTGGTTCATCGGAAACCAATTCCTCACTGTAATGAAATGGGAGCCCAGGTTCATCGCCTCAACAGCATCACTAACCTTCTCAGCAGTCTGGGCCAGATTACCAGAGCTCCCAGCAGAGTTCTACGACTATGAGATTCTTCACAAAATAGGAAATAAATTAGGAAAACTTCTTAGGATCGACGCGTGCACCACCTCAACCACTAGAGGTAAATATGCAAGACTATGTATTCTAACACCCATTGAGAAACCCCTTAAAACACACATCATCATAGGAAATCACTACCAAAAAATAGCCTACGAAGGATTCAATCTTTTGTGCGAGTCATGTGGATGCCTAGGACACAATTCAAATAATTGCCCTAATGCAGCATCTACTTCAAAACCAAGCACTGATACTAACAATGGTGGGAACATGGAGGTCTATACCCTAACCAGAGAAATAGACCACTGGACAATTGTGACACACCAAAAAAAACCAAAAAGAACACAAACCTGGACTAGTGCTAACCTAAACGATCCCACTGTCTCGAACAAAACTAGGTCAAACGGGAATTCAAAAACCAAAAATGATGGAGCACCAAGTAAAAATCTTCACAGTTCACAACAAACACAATTGCCCAAGGACAATGACTTGTTTAATCCAGCGGTCACTACCTTTCCCCCTAAACAAAAACACAACTCAGTACACAATGCTAAAACACTAGACAACCCTAGGAACCTATCCGTCGACAAGGACCCAAAAAATCTAGGTAACCCTAGCTGCTACACCAACAGCCCCTCCCCTCCCTTTGTCAAACCTCTCCACATCACAATTAATGCCCCAATTCACTACCCTAGAACCCACATATCCTGCAACAAAAAAGGAGACAGACCCTACTACTAAAACCAGCGGTTAACAACAAAAAACCAAGAAACAAAAACAAAAGCTGAAGACAAAATCCTAAGCCTAACAACAAGGAACAATCCGATGGATATTGACCAAAATCCAATCTTAGGCAAAGCCCCATCAATATTAATTGGTGATTACAATCATCCTAAAACTAGGTTTCACACCTCCAAAAAAGAAGACCTCACCTCACACGACCTCCTGTCACAAATCACACCAACACAAACCATTGAAGAAATACTCTCAAACCAAAAAGCTGGAAATAAAGTCCCATCAACCATGTACATCACACCAATGTATAACAAATCAAACTCTTTATCTTCCAACTCCAACAAACCCTCATCATCCAAAAATACAACTCCCCTTCTGCCTAAGATCAAAGAGCAACATCATGGTCAGGTTTCACCACACCAATTACCAACGCAGGCACAACAGAAACAGGAGAAACGTTTGGATGAGACAACAACCAAGAACGCCACACCATGTACCTTACCCACCCATGAACCCACCGGAGCCAATAATCTACACAACACCACCACTACCAATGAATCATGTTCCACAGTCATGGCTGGAGTACGGGCTGACAGGTTTCTCCCTCAACATGAATCTCCAGTTGGAGGGGCAAGACATCACAATCCAGCTAGAAAATCCGAGCTACCTTGCTCAGATAGTGACGGAGGGGTTGAGGATAGGGCTGGACAATGTTGCAAATCACCCATGGTTGGCCATGTTCAACAACGAAATGCCCCCCCTAAACCACCCACCTTGGGGATTCACCCATCACCTTGGAGCAGACAATCAAGACCAACCCCTACTGCACCTATAGGGCTGAGCATGCAACTACCATTATTCCAAGAAACCATCCCCTTAATTCAAACACACTTCCAGCAACACCAGGCATCTCACAATGTAAACAACCCCACCAATCCAACACTACACACAAACCAAACTCAAATAGCGGCAGCCCAAACCCTAGCTACAGTAGCGATACCAAACAGTCCCCCTACATTTTCTCAAACACAGACAGAAGAGGGGGAAGACGAGGAAGGCTCATCGACAGCAAGACGAGTGGAGTACAGCATGATAAGGGACCCAAAGACGCTGGTGTTCAAGGAAAAAAGAGAAAAAAGATACATCTTACGCTGCCCGCACGACTTGAGGAAATTCTCGATCAATATAAGAATTCTTCAAAGCCCCCCGGGAATCTACAAGTACGGGGCAGTGATAATCCCAACCTTGTACGAGCACCACTGGATGAACCAAGACAACAAGGCATGGGGGAGTCCACACCAAGAGACTCCACGGCAGGTACAGGTGGAGATATCCCAAACCCTAAATAGATCGATGAGTGTCATAATCTGGAATTGCAGGGGAGCGGGTAATGAGGAGTTCAGGAGGATATTTAGATCAATGTTAGACTACAACAGACCCTTTCTGGTGGCCTTACTGGAAACAAAGTTAGCGGATCACCAAGCTATAGTGGAGGACTTTAGGTTCACAAAAATGACCCAAGTCGCAACTCAGGCGGATTGGTAATGATGTGGAATGAAGCAGAGGTAACAGTGGATCAAGTTGCTAGCACGGACCAGGAAATCCACGCCATGGTAAAGGTAAAAGATTCTCCACACCAATGGCTTTTATCTGTTATTTATGCTAGTTGTTTATTGGAGGAGAAAAATATCCTATGGAATAACCTAAAAACAGTAGCAAATTCCTTTAAGGGTCCCTGGTTAATCACGGGGGACT